TGAACTCTCTCATCATCATTAATATCGTTGTCGCGTCATCATAGTTCTCGTCACCACCGTCATATTCTTCTTCATCATCATCATGTTCATTGTCATCATCATCATGGTCATCGTCATAATCATCATCATCATGTTCATTGTCATCATCATCATCATCATCATGGTCATCGTCATCGTCATCATGCTTATTGCCATCTTCATCATCACCATTAGTTTATCAACCCACATTTTGATTATTATTCACCACCTTCTTAACGTTATATCATTTTTAATCACAGCATGATCACCATCATCATCACAAAAAATCATCATTATCATCATTACACCATTATCATCATTGCTACATTATCGTTCCATCACCATCACCATCTTCAACACAGTCCTTGATGCATAACGACGGATAGATAGACCAGTGCTTTCTTTTTTTCTCGCTCTCTTTCTCTTACTTTCACTTTTATTTGTATTTTTCTTTCTATCATTCTCTCTTTTAATTTCTTTCTCTTTTTCTTTCTTTCTCTCCCTCTCTCTCCTTTTCTCTCACAGAGTGTACCTACCGCATCTCATGTCATCAGTTGAAAATGAAATCCATCAAGGCATTCTTTTGATATCATAGATTCAATTTAGTTACGTCTTCTCCATGTATCCAATTCCCAGACTTTATTATCACTGTCATCTTTTTCATCACCATCGTCGTCGTCATCATCATCATCATCATAAAATTTATCCTCATCATCATCCTCGCCATCATCATCATTTTTATCGTGACGACTGTCATCTTCTTCATCAAATCTGTCGTTGCCATCATCAATAATATCATCATTCTATTATCATTATACATACATATATATATATATATACATTTTTTAAGTGTGTTTGCGTGTGGGTGTGTTCGTGCGTGTGTATGTGTGTGCGTGTGTGTGTGTGCGTATGTGTGTGTGTGCGTCTGTATGTATGTATGTATGCAACTTTTCATAATATCCTTGCTACAAAAGGGATGATGTTATCCTTACGCGTTCGTGATCCGGAATAATTTCAGCGAATTTTTTGCGCTAAAAAAACTTTTGCTCCTGCAAGATAACAAAGATATTAAATCTTTGGGAATTTATTGGGTTTTATTTAAAATTTTTATGAGATTATTGGTTGAAAATGTTGTAAAGTCAGGCCGATGTGTCCGTTTTTAAGATTGAAAATTTGATTTAAACATCAGTCATTAATAAAATAGAGCAATTATTATTACTATTATTATTGTTATAGTGTTGTTGTTATTATTTAGAGTGAGCATGAGAACATTAATAGCAGATATAGTGACATTAATGATGGATAAGTGACTCATTGATCACTGTCATTTCATACTGCAATTTACGATATTGTTGAAGTTGTTGAAGTAGTAGTTGTTTTTTTTTCAATATTCACAATTATTTCTTTAATTATCATCGTCATCGT